TGAAAGGATAGGCTCATGTCCAATTACAGTTTTTTCAAGGCAGCTGGGAAAGCCATTATATCCAAGGGCAATCAGAGTGGTGCAGCAGTGATAATCCTGAAAGCATTAGGAAATCTTTGATTAAATGATATATTGGGCAAAGAATAAAATTGCTTCTCTATCTGGAAGGCTGCTTGGTTGGTTTTTAATTAAAATGAATTAATATGGTGTTCTCATTTGTAAAATCAAAATGAAAGGGGAAAAAAATAAAGCAAAGGCATTTAAGTCAGGAAAACACCCATGGATTTTTTTTCTCTTTTGCCTGATTGTTGCTGCTCTGTTATAAAATCCCTTTGTTTCCTAGTGTAATCGGGTTGATTAAAATCCTGTAAAGAATTAAACTGCTGCACAGACTTCCAAACCTACACTGGAATGTCTCTTCTCCAATGTGTGCACATTGTCTTTTCAACTGCTTTGTTTTAAATTATTCTTTTCCCTTCGTTGCCTCTGAAATCCCATTACTAGATTTATTAAACCAAAGCCGAATAAGTGCATGGATAAAGACACACCGATTGCCTCAACACATGTTGTTCTTGCAAAGATGACTGTGCTTGCATTTCTAAACTGCTGGCTGCTGCTGAACTGCAAACAAAACCAGTAATAAAATAAAGCCTTGCTGAACTAAAAGAAAATGCCATATTTTCCCTCTGTGAAACGCTGAATAGTTATTATGGTCCAGACCAGCTAGTCCAGACTAAGGGACAAAGTGTTGCAGCATGACTCTAGAGCTACCCAGGAGGCTTCCCAGTGCTCCAGGGGGGGAACTGAACCGTGCTGGGTCTATACCTGTTGCCTTGTATATGCTGCCATGCACTGGAGAAAGAAGGTGGGTGGGGTAATATCTTTTATTGGCCCAACTTCTGTTGGTGAGAGAGACACGCCGCACGGCGCTCAAAAGCTGCTCTCTTGCCAGCAGAAGTTGGGCCAATAAAAGACATTGCCTCACTCACCTTGTCTGTCTAATATCCTGGGACCAACATGGCCGCAGCAATGCACTAGCACAGCTGAACCACTGCATGAGTTGGTGCGGGGGTGGACACAAGCCCACTTCCATAGATTCATAGATACTAAGGTCAGAAGGGACCATTATCATCATCTAGTCCGACCTCCTGCACAACGCAGGCCACAGAATCTCACCCAGCCACTCCTGCGATAAACCTCTCACCCATGTCTGAGCTACTGAAGTCCTCAAATCGTGGTTTAAAGACTTCAAGGAGCTGAGAATCCTCCAGCAAGTGACCTGTGCCCCATGCTACAGAGGAAGGCGAAAAACCTCCAGGGCCTCTTCCACTTCCCCTCCACTCTCTACTGCCCCTTGTCGTAATCTGTGTGGGGGAGGAGGTGGAGAGAACACAGCAGTTCTATGGATCCCGCTACACCTTGCCTGCTGGAAGTTATTGTACGGCGCACCTAACTCCCTTGCCAATGTACAGGAGAGGCTATAAATTAGGCTCTAAAATAGCATTAAAGCATTTTGACCATTTTCTTTATCCCTGAGCTTTAGGCAATCTTTCAGCTATGCTGGGCTCAGGCCATTGAGTTTCTCAAAGGTGAAGACCTTTAACTTGACTCAGTATTTTATGGGAAGCTAGTGCAGAGAGGGGAGGATAGGATGATGTTCTTGCAGTAGCCAGTGTTGCTGAGGAGACGTCCTGCATCATTCTGGATCAGTTGGAATATCCTAAAGTTGGAATATCCCTGATCGATTCATGCCCAAGCATTTGTAAGGGAATGCCTATGGTGGCTAACTTTGCTATCCTCAAAGAGTGATAACCTCCCACTTAATTCTGTGGGAGCAAAGCTAGGTCAGTGCTGAGCCCTTTTGAAAATCCCATCCATACTGTAGAGATAGGATAGGATTTTCACAAGCATCTAACAGAGTGGGGTACCCTGAATCCAATTACAAGTAGAAGTTGAGCACCTAACTCCACTAACTACCTTTAAAATTTCCAGCCATAGTCTAAGCAACTCATTCTGATCTCAGTCATGTGTGCACCAGCTTGCGGTATGTAGCCATTGTTATGGTAGTAACGTCCAATGGTAATAAAGGGTGTAAGATTGTTTCTGTCACACATCAATGGGTATCTCTTGTATTCTAACTGAATATTGCCTACACGCTCTAGTAATGTATGACTCCATCATGTGCTAATTTTACTAAACTGTAGTTGTAACATGCTCCCATATTAATACCCATACCAAATTCTAAATGTTCAGATGGGAGTGCTTCTCAGCTTCGGAGGAATTCTTCACCCAGTAACTTTGTGCGCTCAAATATTCAGTTCCAAAAACCTAAAGTCAAGCAAAATAGACAATACTACAGTCATCAACAATACAAACCTTTTTCATAAGGAGCACGGGTTTCAATTATGTCATCATAAATAAGTTCTGCTAGGACATGCCTGAGGGAAGTGAAGGGATTAATTTAAATTATATAGTTTCCAATATTGCCTCTGATGCTATTTAGTTTAAATTTACCAGACTCCCTAGCAGCAGACTATGTACATTACAAGTCTTACTGAGTGCCCCAGTTGGGTTAATTTTTGTGCAGCAATCTGGAATGTGGGCAATAAACTGTCTATTACTCTTATGTCTTTGGTTTTGATGTGGGAAATTAATGACAGTATTTTTATGAGGGAATCTTTTAATGGCTATCATGAACAACAAACCTGGTTAAAGTTGATAGGTGTTTTAAGCACCCTTCATTCAGGCAACATGGAAGGCACAATTAGTGCCCTTTTGCGGGATGATAGATGAAAAAATAGAAGCCACCATCCATAGCCTGGACAGCATGTCAGGGTCTGAGACGGTAAGCCATGTGGACCGAGGGACTTCCATGGGGACTGATTGCCAAGGCAAGGGGGATTGCTTGCTTGCATGCATGTCCCTGTATTTGTAAGAGAGCACAACCAGAGAACCAGCATACAGTGAGAGAAGTGGTGGAGAGCATGGCCATGTGGGGGAGCAGAGAAAGAAGACCCTGGAGCACAGGATTTGCTGGAAATGCAGACTTGGAAATTGTAAACAAGGAACCTACTTCCTGTTTGTTCTTACTGTGTTCATGGAAACAAGACTTTGTGCATTCCTTGTAAACAAACAGGATTGCACCAAAGAAATACCTGACTTGGTTCTCCTCCTAACCTGACCAGGTGCCATTATTGGCTAACCACGTGGGCTAAAAAATGGCAACATTATAGTCTAACGAACATTTTTTTAAAAAATCTCTGGTATAAATTGATTTGTCTTCCACGGTTAAGAAAAAAATATTTTATTCAACACTTTGAGCACTTTTAGAGCTTCCAAGTGACAGGATATATTATATGCTTCTACATTTAAACCTCTGCTGCTTACTGGACAAACTAGCATCATAGACCACCCAATATTAACCATCACTGTCATTTCACATAGGACCTGGTTACTAATCTAAAATTTGGGGTAAATAATGACTAAAATCTACTTTTGAAACTTTTCCTTTGTTATTTATACAAGGCTGGACTTTTTTACTCTCTGCCTGTCCAAAAGATCAGTTCAAAAAGCAGCTAGGGACCTGATGAATTTCCACATCACATTTTCTGAAGCCGGTCTTCATTCACCTCAAACCAATTGCTATATAAAAATATATATTCTAATAAAAAAAATCCAAATAATGGTCTTCCTGCTGGGACTGCTTATGGATGATTAATACCATACCATAACTGTTTCTGTGATCAGATTACTGTAACACATTGCCTAGATTCTTTTCAACTACTAGCTTTGATACAGTTAATAAAATATGGTGCTGTGTTGGCAGAATTGTTTGGGAATCTCTCATTTTCGTTTTTTAAAAAATAAATCTCAAATTTAAAACTTGATAAAATTATCGGCTTCCTGAGGCAGGCTCCTACCATGCCAGATAAGCGGTGGATTGCTCAAGGCATTTTTAATCATCGTTTTGCATGGAGAGGGATGTTCCTGCCTCTTGGAAGCTCAGCAAATTAGGTAGTTTGTCAACTGTAAGGGCCCTAATCCTGTATCAATATCTGGTGGTGCGCATCCTGGTGTGCGTGCAAGGATCCATTGAAAGGTGTCTTGCTCACCAAAAGCTCACAGACTATCCCCAGCAATCTGTTTCCAAACATACGTTATATTTTTATTGTAATTTAACTATTCTCTTTTGACTGCAAAGTAGACTTATATGGGATCTAGATCAAACAATAGAAAAGGGAAAAATCTGAGTATGGGTCACAACTGATCATATTAAAAACATTTTGGAAACATGCTATCGAAGTGGGGAAGGACACAGTGAATTAGTCTAAGTCACTTTTTTTTAAATCCTGAGTTCATAGAATCATAGAATATTAGTGTTGGAAGGGACCTCAGGAGTTTTGCCCCAGATCCCTAAATGGACCCCTCAAGGATTGGACTCACAAGCCTGGGTTTAGCAGGCCAATGCTCAAACCACTGTTGTTGCACCTTGTTTTAAATTAGGCCCTGATCCTGTAAATATTCATGCTATGAACTTGGTAGCACGACACAGGCATAGAAAGCTGTATGGCAGTGCACGTGTGTGTCTGCGGGGACTGGAACCCTATACTAAGATTCAGGCAGACTAAGATTCACACTACCATGTGACAGGTTTCAGAGGAACAGCCGTGTTAGTCTGTATTCGCAAAAAGAAAAGGAGGACTTGTGGCCCCTTAGAGACTAACCAATTGATTTGAGCATGAGCTTTCGTGAGCTTGTGAGTTAGCACCGAGCACAATGGGGGGCTGATCCTGATTGGAGCCTCTGGGCACTACCATAAAAAAACTAATAGTAGCCTTGAAATCCTGGTACCACATAGCCATGGAGCCACGCATGCTCCTTATTACATTTTGCAAATCTTAGATATTACAAATAGGACATTTTATCATTGAAAATAGTCAGATCCCAAACACCTTTGGTTGTAAAGCACACAGGAAAATTCTTAATCAATATGGCTTTTTTATTCATTGATTGCACTTAAAACAGGGAATACAATAGACTGACCAGCAAAATGAAAAAACATAATCAGAAAAGGCTTTTTAAGTCAGAGGCTCTGCCTCTTGAGTCATCGGATTTCAATATTTCTTTTGAGATAATTATATATTTCACAGTAATTTAATATATAATATACCTTTGATATGCGTGACCAGTTGAACAATACTTCATGAAAAATTATACATAACTTTCTAAATATTTTATAAATCAGATATTTAGCAAATACATTTTATTCCTAATTTTAGAATGTAAAAGTTCACCCACGCAAGGTGAAAGATGGATTTTTTATATGTGTTGGGTTTAAACTAACCAACCATTCTCTACTCCAGCTCCAAGTGCAATCATTTATACACCTGAGTAACTTTACATGGGTGATTAGTACAATTGTGTCTTCACTGGGACTACTCATGTGTGATGCTACTCGTGCACATAACACCCTGCTCCTGCAAAGGCTAATGCACATGCATCACTTTGCACACTGAGTAATCCCAGAGAGATCAATAGAACTTCTCAGTGTATGTAAAATTTAAGGTGTGCACAAGTCTTTGCAAGATCAGGGACTAATTCTTTTCAAAGATCACAGCCCAAATGTGCACTTGCAAAAAAACGTTTGTTTTTGTTTTTCATGGAACAAAAGAAAATCTCTTCAAATTCACACATTACAAAACATTCTGCATGTGCATTATACATGGCAATTTCTTCCACTTATCCTGACCTGGAGCCTAACGTTTGAACATTGGACGAACAAACATATTAAGAATGATATTCATTTAAAGTAAAAAGAACACTAATAGGACCTCTTCCATCCTTTCCAGCACTGGAAAGTATAGTAACATCTGTTGGTGAGAGAAATGCACCGATTTTTCAATATTCTCCAAAAACTTACCCAAAAGTGCAATTTAGAAGCTGCAGGAGCGAAATATGTTTGGTAAAGTCATTTGGCAGGATAGACACAGTTGGTGGACTGACAATATTACACTTGTTATAGCAAGACACCGGTGATACACAGGCACAATAGGAAAGCAGATCAGAGCTATAAAAGGGACTACTGAGATAGTGGTAGTGAGAAGAGACTTCATGAGGCATTATTATGATTTGAATTATCTTTGGTTAACATATGTCTACGAATGCGTTTAATTATTTTGTTCTGCTTTCCTGAGAGCATTAGGCAAACAAAAGAAATTTACCAGACTCCCCAGCAGCAAAGAAAACCGACTGTTGCAAAACTGGTTTTGCATACTCGAGAGATAAGCCTCTGGGGTGAAATCCTGGCCCCATTTATGTAAGTGTCAAAACTCCTACTGACTTCAATGGGGCCAAGATTTCACCCCTGAACTTTAAGCTGCTTATTCAAAGTGAACCTGAATAATGTCAATATTCGTGTCCTGAGCATGAATGTGTTCGATAGTCAATTTACTAAAACCAGTAACTTAACAGCAACTCTATCATGCATGAAGTTCCATGTAATTCAATAGGACTTACTCAAACAAGGAGTTCTGCAATTAAAGGCCCTATAAGAAATACTGGCCATCTTAATGACATCTTTGGCAAATAACTTCAGGAAAAAAAATTACTACTGTGCACTTCAGTGGCATGGAACTCAGAGGTAGTTGGCAACTGTTTTTTTCTTCCTGAAGAAAATTGACTTTTTAGTGAAATATTTTGTCCCCAAAAATTATTTTGATTCAGAAATACTGTTGCAGTGCCGCATGGGAGATATAGTTCTGATCCCTCATGCCCCCATTTTCCTCCACAGACTGGGCTTCATGGGCAGACTACATTTCCCCGGTGTATCACCTCCTTTCATAAGAGGCACAAGAAAACAAGACAACTGTAATGAAAAATTGTATTCAATAAAAAATTGGATTTTTGACTAAAGCCGTTTTTGCTGGAAAAATTTAAATCAGCCTTACTCAGTAACCTCTACCCCCTGTTTTTAAACTGATAATATTCTTTTAAAAGCCAAACCATTTAAAGGGGAAGATTTTTTTAAAACTACTACAGTAAAACTTCTGTCAGTGTGAAATTATTCTTCTGTGTAAAAATCAGTTAAGCGCTGTACAGTATACCTAAAACCCACTTCTATATATTTCCTTGGGCAAGAGATTATTTTTGTTTGCTTTTCTTTCCTAACTACTACATAATAAAGCTTACCACAATAGAAAACATGCTTTTATTAACATTATCAATGGAAATCAGATGAAGGACTTAATTGCCTGATTACATACCACATCTGGAAAGTTGTCTGCATCTGAATATCTCTTGTGAGGCAAACAGGCCAAACATTGTAGATGCTAAGTTCTTGAGTCACTTCTCCCCCTTTCCTAATGGATACAGGTGGATTTCACCTCTGTGTACAGGGCCAGTACACGCAGAAGTGGTGATAGCCCATTCACAGAATATCACTGTCAGAAGGGACCTCAGGAGGTCATCTAGTCCAAGCCCCTGCTCAAAGCAGGACCAATCCCCAATTTTTGTCTCAGATCCCTAAATGTCCCCCTCAAGGATTGAATTCACAACCCTGGGTTTAGCAGGCCAGTGCTCAAACCACTGAGCTATCCCTCCCCCAAAACAACTGTCACACAGAATGGCCCCCTCAAGGATTGAACTCAAAACCCTGGGTTTAGCAGGCCAATGCTCAAACCACTAAGTTATCCCTCCCTCTGGTTGGGGACCCTAAGCAGGAATATTCCCTACCCCCGCCCCCCAACACACACACCGCATACTACTAAAGTGAATAAGGGGCCCTCTTGAGCTGCTCGAGGCCCTGATCAATTGGTTAGTCCGCTAATGCCTAGCGCTGGCACGGAGTACAACTTACATCTCATTAAACCCTAGCTCATAGCGCTCAAGTGGGACTTAGGTAGCGTGTGGAGCTTTCATGAGGTGTGAATTGTGCCGCTTCCTTGTTCAGGCCCTGTATACAAGGGTGAAAGACACCCCGTGTGTGTAAATGTATGCCTGTTAGGAACAGGAATCAAGACTACACATAATAATGCAATTATTCTGGTGTTTCCCAGTGACAGGGATTCCCTGCTCTAGCCCCATTTCCACTTGTAGATTTTTGCCATATGCTGCTATTAAGGCACTCATGAAGAATGCCCAGGATTTGACAAGTAATCTTTGTGTTTAGTCAGTGCAGGTGGAAACAATGAGGAGCTATTCCAACCTCAGGCATTGATCTGACTTCTTAAATTGAATTGATATAAAATCTAGTGTCTTAACATCATGCAAAATCATTTATGGCATGCTATGCAATAACACCGTATGTTATCAAAATGCTGTATTGCACAGGAGATCAGCGCTGGCTACGTAGCAGTTCTCGTGAACTAAACAAATCTGGAAGGACTGAATTTTGTATGGGAACATTTTGCTCAGCCCTCCTGCAAAGCAATAGATTACAATTGGATTCTACCATTTTCCTCTTGCTAAACTATAAATCAGGAAGTGGAATGAGTAACGGCAGCAATCCATCAACAGCAATCCAATCATGGAGTGTCAATTTTTTTCCTGAATCCTCTCCTTTCTCTTGTCCAATGTTTAAGGCTTCCAAACCATAAACAGACAATGATTAGATCTGTGCAGGTCACCCACCCAGATGATGAAGATGCATTAAAAAAATAAAACCTCTCTATATTGCTTAATGTTGCTCTGAAGCTGTAGCAGTGGGTTAAAGTTCAGAAACAGCAGTTTATATATATATATATATATATAAAACCTCTTGGCACTGGATTTGAAAAGACCATCTACCATAACCGACAGGATTCTGAACCTCTATTCATGGTTGAATTTACTGGGCAATTGAAAGCTTTACGGAACTCCTCGAAGTTGCTCATTGCACCAATAACTCTAAAGAAAGAAACAAAACACAACATCTAAGTTATTTGAAATGAAACATCACAGATCCTGCAGAGTTCTGCTGAACTTTAAAGTTTCAGATTCTTTTCTATTTGTGGAAGTTACATTTTCTGTTCTCTTTATTCTCAGGCATTGGAAAAGTTTTGTATTTCAGGGAAAGTTTTCCTTTAAATTAACATCGGGCCAACATTGTTTTACCCAAAGTATTGAGAAGGACCTGCAAGAAACTCCAGTGAAGTCAGTGGGATTTTGTAGAATAAAATGCTATTTTACAGAGTAAGGGTGTCCAAATCTAGATCGTAGCATTCAGGAAAGGTGCCAGTTTAAAAGGCTAATGGAATGGAATTTGTCTTTTGTCACTCAACAAACAAGGGCAGCACAGAAAACAGGAGTATAGACTCCCTTACACTGTCCTGGCAATGTCTACATGCCAACCTGAAGAGACCACCTCCAGTTGGGACAATAGTTCCCTCTCTCTGTGCACATAGTTCTTGACTTCTCTTTCCTGCCCTCCCTTATTTCATGTCAGCTAGGATTATTTTACCATTGCTAAAATTACATTTTGTTGACTCCTAGTAGTTTTTAGTCTCTTAATACTTACTAATGTGAAGTTTGAAATGGTACTAAAATAAGTGAAAGTCTGGGCTAATGGCAGACGTGTATCTACTAAGCAATTAATCATGTATCTCTTTCACCTTGGCTCTACAGTGAAGTAGCACTTTTTCTCCGCTGCATACAATCAGCCTTTCAGTGTAGCTCAGCATGGTGGAAAAGAAATTCCCATCACACTGATTGGACTTTCTGCTAGTAGGGATACTTGCAGCGCAAAAAATGCCTAAAGGTCAGTTTTGTGGGGAGAACTACAATATACTATTAGGCTGCAAATAAAATATCAGGAAACATTAAGCTTTCAGATACATATTCAGGGCCTGCATTTAGAAACTTTGAAGTCAGTGCAAGTCCTGCTTGCAGTGTCAGCCACTTAATTGAGACACACCTATTGCAAATTAATAGCCACTACTAATTACTGAAAATATAGTTACAGTTAATAAATATCACTAATGGCAAAGAGTACATAGTGAGGAAAGACTATTCAAGGATGAAATCATGTATCCCTAGGGTTTTATATTGCCATCCCTCATCATAGTATCTGAGACCTTGCATGTAAAATTGATAGCAATAACAAAGTCCCTGGAATCTCTGGGACTTCTCCCTTCTTGAGGTAAAACCGCTGCTTGAGGTAGGGGGGTTGGTTTTGATTTGTCAGATGTTATTAATTTCACAGGAATATCACTGTTGAGTCCCAGTCTTATGGTAAAAAGATGCCCACTGTCCCCTGCCCTATCCCATCCCCCTTCCTTCCCCACTGCATCTTTCCCCGACCTCATCCCCTTTCCCCAATATGCCCCCTGTGGGCATTTACCATTGTACAGAAAACAAGATGGTGACCATATAGGGCACCCACCAAACATAGAAGGGGAAGACAACTGGCACTAGGACCCAGGAGGCGGTGTCCAGCTGCGGAGGCACGAGAGCTTAGCAGGAGAAGCAGCTCCATACCACCTCCTCCGCTTCCAGCCTGGGCCTCTGTTTGGGGGAGCAATGCCCCTGGCGCCCGAAACTATACCCACGGACTCCGGCCAACGCTGCTGGGCTCAATCCTGCGGGGTGGAGGGCTATCTCAGCTGGGCCTGAACTTGCGCTGCCCCATTTCTGCACCCTGGGCAGTTGCCCCTCTTGCCCCACCCTAGTTACAGCTGTGTACTTTAGACAGATATATTATTTACTGAAAGAAAAGGATTACTTGCGGCACCTTAGAGACTAACACATTTATTTGAGCATGAGCTTTCGTGAGCTACAGCTCACTTCATCGGCTGCATACTGTGGAAAATACAGTAGGGGATTTTATATACACAGAGAACATGAAACAATGGGTGTTACCATACACTCTGTAAGGAGAGAGATTAGGTAAGGTGAGCTATTACCAGCAGGAGAGGAAAAAAACCTTTTGTAGTGATAATCAAAGTGGGCCATTTCCAACAGCTGACAAGAACGTGTGAGGAACAGTATGGGGGGAAAATAAACATGGGGAAATAGTTTTACTTTGTGTAATGACACATCTACTCCCAGTCTTTATTCAGGCCTAAGTTAATGGTGTCCAGTTTGCAAATTAATTCCAATTCAGCAGTCTCTCTTTGGAGTCTGTTTTTGAAGTTTTTTTGTTGAAGAATTGTGACTTTTAGGTCTGTAATCAAGTGACCCAGAGAGATTGAAGTGTTCTCTGACTGGTTTTTGAATGTTATAATTCTTGACGTCTGATTTGTGTCCATTTATTCTTTTATGAAGAGCCTGTCCGGTTTGGCCAAACCTTGATTATCACTCCTGCTGGTAATAGCTCACCTTACCTGATCACTCTCATTACAGTGTGTATGGTAATGCCCGTTGTTTCATGTTCTCTGTGTATATAAAATCTCCCCACTGTATTTTCCACTGCATGCATCCGATGAAGTGAGCTGTAGCTCACGAAAGCTTATGCTCAAATAAATTTGTTAGTCTCTAAGATGCCACAAGTACTCCTTTTCTTTTTGCAGATACAGATTAACACGGCTGCTACTCTGAAACCTGTCATATTATTTACTCTACCTGAATTGAGGAGGGCTGTGAACTCCAGTATGGATTTGCTCTCTTGCAGACTCTGGTCTGAAGGAGTTGCATCTCACCTAACGAAGAAAAGACAAACATGTATATTATTTGGGGGACACAGTTTTCAAAATGTAGCTGATCCGTCTACATGTATTACTGTAATATATATGAGATGAGCAGGAACAATACCACACCCATTTTCCTTCACCTCCACTGGCTTCCTAGTCATCTCTGTATCTAATTTAAAGCAATTCTGATTTTCAAACACTCTCCAGGGATCCAAGTCTCTAACCACTGCTGTTCCCCATCTGCTCACTTAGCTCATCTAATGCTAGCTTCCTTGATTGTCTTTTCCCTTGAGAGTCATTGTAATTGAGGGTCGCCTCTTGTCTTGTGCTGCACCATCTGGAACTCTCTTTCCCCTCCCTTTTAACCACTGTGAATCTTCCTGGTTTTAAACCTCTAAAGCAGGGGTCTCAAACACATGGCCCGCCGAGTTCTTTGCTGCGGCCTGCCAAGCTCCCTGAGCCCCCCACCACCAAGCTATTTCCTATGGCTGCCAAGTTCCCCTTACCCACCGCCAACCCTCCCTCCCAGCACGCTGCATCCCCGCTCCTCTGCCTACCTCCAGGTGCTTCCTGCCACCAAACAACTGTTTGGTGGCACTTAGTGCTTTCCAGGAGGGGGAAGAGCGGGGAGCCATGCACTCAGAGGAGGAGGCTGAGAAGAGGTGGGGCAGGGATTTGTGGAATGGGTTGGAAGAGAAGCAGGGAGGGGGTGGAGTTGGGGTGGGGACTTTGGGGAAGGGGTTGGAATGGTGGTGGGGAAGGGGTGGGAAGACACAGGACAGGGGCAGGGCCTCATGGAAGGGGTGGAGTGGGGCAGGGCTGGGAGTAGGGGGGGGTGTCAGTGATATGGCCCTCGGGTCAATGTACTAGTCCTCATGTGGCCCTCGTGATCATTTGAGTTTGAGATCCCTGCTCTAAAGTGTATATTAAAGATGTGACATAATGATGTTTCTTGTCCCTGTCAACCGTAGACATTACTTAACACATTACTTCATTATTTTCAATACTGATTCCTAATGTATTTTCCAAGTTTCCTTTAATGCCCCTTAATTTTCAGCTCCTAAGGTCATATCTGACCCAATTATGAGTGACCACAAAGGCGGCTATGGACAATATATGCAAATACTGAATTATCCTCTTGTCTGCTATACCCAGTACACCCTAACAGACCTTGTGAGTTGGTCAAGCACCTAATCCTTTGTATGAAATAAGATGAATTCAAGGATATTTAATGTCCATACCGGTGTCTCTTTTCTAAAAGTGGGCTGAATATACAAAGGGCACCAGAAGGCAATCTTAATGTACAGCAGACAAAGTGAACAAACTTTCCAAGATTACTCTCTCCTCCATTGCTTGGTTTCACTGAACAACATGCCCAATACATCAGACTTAAGACCCATTGCTCTCAAACCTCTGAAACCCTACAAAGGCCTATATAGGTGAGAAACCGAAGGGGAAGTGATTGAAAAATTGGCAGGGACAGGATGAAGGCTATTGAGATGAAGAGGTTTACAAGAGAGAGGGATATGGCTGTCATGACAACTATGTTCAAGAGCTGGAATAATTTCAGTGGGAGAAGTAGAGGAGCCAGTAAGTTGCAAAGAAAAAGGGGGTACAAAAGTTTGGGGATGAGACGAAAGATGAGTGAGGTCCTTGAGAGGACACAGAGGGAGAAGGAGAAGAAAAATTAGTAAGTTCAGAAAAAGGAGTCTTTATTAACCCTTTAAAATCTCTTCTTTTGGAGAAAAGGTTGGGGAGGAGGGGTTGTTTTTAAACCAAGATTGTAGAGCAACGTAGTGGATACATCAACTTGAAAATCCGTTTTCTAGTACTCACATGAGCGTAACTGAGAAAGAAGAGCTGATTGTGGGTGAATTCAATGCCTGGTAACAAAGCCTCCTCTGCTCCTTGTCTCTTTTCTTCAATCCATTTCCTATAGGCCTGATTGGAGAGGTACAGTGGGTATAGTTCAGTAGATACAGAGCTCAACAGCAGTTTTTACAATACTGTGTTTCAATTTTTTTCCCCTCAAGCACAAAGAAATAAAACAGCTGCCTACTGTGACATTGGCAGGCCAGGTGCCAGCTTCTGCCAAAGACCCCGTGTCTCAACTGGACACTTACAGATACATAGCTGGAATTTGTCTGGATCACTTGTGGATTAATATTGATAAAATAGGCGTTTGAATTATAAGAGTGTTTAGTCTCTCACAAATGCTTGTGAATTGCTGAACGCATTAATCTTACTTGTAATATCTGTGTTCCATATTGTAATGCAATATGTGAGTGGTTGCATTGTGAGCCTCTAGGATTGTATGAACTGCCATACAGGAGAGGGACATTAGTTTGAAGACCTGCTCTTCTGCAGAAATGGTTATGCCCGTCCAGAAAGAGGAGGCTCACTGATACTAGATTGGGTGGATTTTACAACTGGAAACTCCCCACATCTGGATTGCCAACAAAAGGACTAAAGATTCTTATTCTTATTCTGCTTCTGCTCTCCTCCCTGAGAAGATGAGTCATGCAAATGGACTCCTCCCATCAGCTGAGTTTTTCAGCTCAGAGCACATGGCAGGAGGGGAATTTAAAAAAAAACAAACCAAAGGGACTATGTTGCTTGGACTTGTGGTTAGGGGGTGGAAGGTATTTCTACGCATAAGCAAAAGATCCTCAGCTGCTTAACCAGGGTTACCCCTAAAGGTCAAATAGAGCTTGCTGATTATAGCAGCATATATTATCTTTTGAAATCTAAGACTGTAATAATTCATGTGTCTATGTTGCTTGTTTTAACCATGTAAATAATTCCCTATTTTCCCTTTCCCTATTTAATTAATCTTCAGATAGTTTACTATAGGATTGGCTATAAGCATTGTCTTGGTGTGAAACCCAAAGTGCAATTGACCTGGGGTAAGTGACTGGCTCTTTGGGATTGGGATTAACCTGAATAGCGCTGTGATTCTTGGTGTAAGAGGCCATCTGTCACAGCGATATGCTTACCTGGCCAGTGAGACAGACCGGAGTATCCAAGGGGACAGTCTGTGACTCCATGTTAAAGCTATTAAAGTGCCTGAGAAGCTTGCACTTGGTGCAGTTGATTGGTGAGATCCAAGTTTATAACTCTCAAGCAATTAGGGGATTGTGCCCTGATTTTTAACAGTTTGCTCCCTGAGATTGGTGCGCATGCTCTTGCATCACCACTGGGAATCTTACACCTACCCTGAAAGCCTCTCGCAAACCTCCATTGTCTGCAATGTTTTCTGCCAAAGTCCTCTTCCCTTTTACCTAGCAGAAAGGAAGAACATAATTCATTTGATCTGTTTCTAAACTGCATTTCAAGGACAACCTATATATACAGACAGGAAAAAAATCAAACAGAGGTTATAGGCCAGATCCTCAGCTACTGTAAATGAATAGCTCTGATGAAGAAAATTGCTTTCCAATGTGAAAAATCAAACCTATACTCATACCATTTCTGTATTCTCCTGTGGCCAGTTACTCTAGCTCTCGGGTTAGATCCCAAAGGCAAAGTGGCATGAAGCAGAAACAATGCATCTGAGAATCTGGTCTGTGAAATTTGAATGGGTATCAATATTTTTTTCCATCCATGTTTTAGCTCCTCTAGTTAGATCTGGGAATTTGCAAAGTTTTTTACTTATTTGACAAACTACATTTATTTCTCCACATAACTCTTTATCTACTACTGGAGTGACGGTAATTATCAAAGTATAACATAAAACAGTAGAATTAAAAGTAGATGTCACGGAGAGAATTGAAATGGGTAGTGTACAAAATGCTTTTTACAAATCTAGAAAGAAGGTTCAAGTTCTTTTTTCTAATATTGCTTCCAGCAACCATAAAAAAATCATGTTACAAAAATTGGTGTCATCTAAATGCTGATAAACCCAATATCCTGATATTACAATATTTAATATAATCTGAAAGAACCTCTCATTTTCTGTGGAGTAGAGCACTATCTATTATCACCAGACCTATAAGGGTTCTTGAGTTATCAGATTGTATTGGTAATTCATTAGTTTTTTCCTCCAACATTTTATACAAAAAACAACCACAGGATCAAGTTTAGAATCAAATTAATTAAAATATGATTCCAATGCAACAGCTGATAAAATGGTATGAAGCAACAGTTTGAAATTTAGGACTGGACAAATTATCAGTGGCACAATGGTCTAGTCAAAGGCCTTTGGAGTGAATGGGAATCTTTCCATTGACTTCAATGGACTCTGGATCAGATCACTAAAACGGCTGTGGCTAAAAGGGATCATGATAGTGATGGGAGAACAAGAGAATTTCTTAACCCCACAGCTCTTTGGTATTGGCAAAGTCTGAAACTATATCTATTTTCATATCTACTTTTTTCATTAAGCACCTTTTTGGAGACCTTTTCATTTCAAATTGAAAGAGGAGTTGAAAGAGGATGGTCCTGCTTGCATGCTTGGGGATTCTGTAGGGAAGTGTGTAATCTGGGAGCAGCAGTTAGTCAGGAAAAAGCCAGTCTAGAACAAAGTTAGGAGAGTTGTGCCTATGCCTTAGGGAGCAGCCTGCTTTGTCTCTCTCTGTGTGCGATTTTGTGTATCATTCTGAATTCTAAGAAATAAAGTAGTTTTACATTCCAGTGTTCCAAAAGGGGTATTTTATATTTTTATCTGTGTGTGCGCATACCCTGAAACATAACAAAAATGACCCTATCATAAAGTGCAATATGATGCTTCACAGAAAAGAAGAACTAAATATCTTCACCTCAGTGAAGTCCTGTAGATGACATGACTGTGCACTAGCAGCAGTTCCTACAACTTCACAGATGAGGGAGGGTCCAAATCCTCCTAACCACAGTCAGGACCTCCAGAAAGCAAGAGACTAATGGATGGGCCAATAGCAACAGCATGGAACGAATGGGTGAGTTCCAGCAGCTCCTCCACAACATTTTCTGTGTCTTAAGTGATACCTCTCTTGTGGTGATGATGGTGGCAGCAGAGATGCTTAACAAACAGTGGGAGGTATTTTATTTGTAAATTGGCTGATATCCAGCACTGCAAACTTGAGTCATTGGATTGCTGATTGGTCAGTGGCACATCATCATTATCACTCAGCTGATGAACATACCTTTAACAACTTATTGTGCGGAGGTGCAAGAGCAGGTGAGTTAATTATGCTTTTAAAATGTCAAGACAGGAGGTAGAAATTGGGTTTAAAGGATATGGATTTAACTGTAAAAATGAGGTTAAAATCCTGGCCCCACAGAAGTCAATGGGAGTTCTGCAAATGATATCAGTGGGGCTAGAATTCCATACCCAGGGTCCCTATTTATGCTGTATTCAAGAAACGTACTGTTTAAACCTGCATATATTCAGGAGGAGCCCATGCTTCCGATAGCTAATACACAAATTTCATTTCTATTTCCTTTTTCAACTCTGCAGTTGCTGTGAATGATTGTTTAGTATTTGATTCATTTGATCAGCAACATGTCCACAAATAGCAAGAGTTGAATGGGAAATAAGCTGTAGCTTGTGTCTCCACACTATAATGTTAATTTATTTTCTGATGTATTGGGTGGGATTGCTAAACACACTATTAGTTCCTTCTTTTAAAGAAAATGGTAGCTGCCACTACACGGCTCCAATCACTGTTCTATGCTGACACTGCCATTAGAGGGCATTTAACACATACATCCCCATTGGACTACTCCTGCTGCTTGGCTTCACCCACTCACATAGCCTCCACTGTTGACCTCACTATGAGAAGCAGTTTAACCCTCTCAACAAAGAGTCTGTTCTTGTAATTTGTTTCGACTAATAATTTGACAAACAAGTTTAATTAAATAAATGTGCTCACTTCATGTATAGTACATGAACAGAAAAACAGCTACATTCATCTCAAAGCATTTGTTATGAATAGCCCATTCACTTGTAGCATTCCAACATATTGGTAATCATGAAAAAATAAGTAAACTATCAGGGACTTCAGCCACTGGCATGTTACATACATTTAAGCCAGCTCTCTTCCAGTAATAGTTATTGTACTGGTTAATCATGCATTTTGTCTTCTCCTTGAATTTTTCTTCAGAGTCAGTGGACCACCAGGGATCTAAATTTCCATTCTTGTCATACTTACGACCTAAAAACCAGAAGACATTTGTGAGAAAAATATACTTTTTGCAGTATTTGTAGCATAGCATGGACACAAATACAAGAAGTTAGAGTAGTAAAACAGATGTATGACTTCACATCAGTTTGTCCACACTTGCTTATTCTGCTTAATTCACTTAGATTTTCTGATTTTTGTCCCTCAGCTAAAGGTAGTACTACAGAAACCCAACTCCTGTGGGTCATGCCATCCAGCGAATGCCACTCAGTCAGTGAATTCACAGTCAGATTCACAGTCAGTGAATCTCAAAAAGATGCAACATTAGGCATATCATTCACTTAATAGGGAAAAGGAAGATTCAACCCAAGAGGGTATGCAGTTATAGTCTTTGTAGTTTGCCTAACGGTGTGGCTGTGTACTTTGTTTTATTATTATATTATGGCATTATTTTACAGTGCTAACACCTGTACATCACTCCGCAGGAGCCATCTTAGCCAATGGGGTTGCACATATGTGACTGAGAATATAGTCTAGAGATTCTTTTTTGGATGTTGATGCACAAGCTGGAAATAACACAGCTTGACTCTCAGATCCCAGGATGAATTTATATAGCTGGAAATTGGAAAATAAGGGATTTCACAAGAGTAACTGAGGGCAGGATTTAACACTGCAGTTAGACCATAGTAGACAATTCATGTAATGACCTGTGAGCCAGAATGGAATCCAGCACGTACTCCCAAAACTATCTTGACTGTGCAGTGTGAATAAGAGTAAAATCAGAAAAACTTAAGTTTGTAACTAAAGTAATCAAATATGACTCTGAATATACACAAGGATATGACTTGCTGAGGAAGATTGTGTTATTTTACATAGCCATTTTTCAGAGAAAAATTACTTTCACACACATAAAATCATAATTGTTCTGAGTTATTCTTCATGAGGATTATTGAACTCAGAAGGATCAAAACAATTGACATTAAGATGTTTAGAGCCAAAAAGGGTGACATGATTAATCATCAGTTTTTGACTAATGGCTTTATTTATTTATTTTTGGCCACATCGATATTTTTATTTTATATTTTTGTTTAAAATGGACTTAGCCACTGGGTGAAATCCTGCCCCCACTGACATCAATGGCAAAGCTCCCATTTTTATCAGTAGGGCCTCTACTTCATCCAGTGTCTCCGTTCCCATTTTTATAACAACTTTTATCCCATGAGTGATGTCAACAACATAGCTCGGAGTTGTACAATATTCCAGAAATAGGAACTTTCCGGTAAAATCTAATTGTGGTTATTTTTCATCCTCAGCCCATATAATTGTGATTCTGAAAACAGGCACATCGTTGCTATATTATAAAATTGATACTACACTTCTATGCTTCCTGCTTCCCAGTTTGCTTGTCTAAAGCCTCATGACATATGCTATGTCTACACTGCAATTAGACACCTGTGGCTGACCCGTGCCAGCTGACTTGGGCTCTGGCTAAGGGGCTGCTTAACCGTGGAGTGGATGTTCAGGTTTAGGTTGCAGCCTGAGCTCTGGGACCCTCCCACCTTGCAACGTCCCAGAGCCTGGGCTCCAGCCTGTGCCCAAATGTCTACACAGCAATTAAACAGCTCCTTAGCCTGAGAGCCCTGTGAGCCACAGTCAGCTGGCACTGACCAGCCACTGTGTTTTAATTGCGGTGTAGACATGCCCAGAGAGAAATCAGCCAGTCGGCCACAGACCAGTCAGATCAATACCTTACAATACACTGCCATAAACTGTGTGTTATACGTTGCCATAATTTTCTACAGACTTCTACTTCTCATAATCAATATGACAATGAGAAGACAAAGACATAAGTCTATTAATTTTTATATCTATTGCAGCAGTGGAAGGAACTAGAGCTGGTCAGAAATTTTCTGATTGGCATTTTCTGATGGAAAATGGTTCTATTTCACAAAAGCAAAACACTGTGCAGAAGCATGTCAATTTAAAGGAAAATGCGTTCCAAAAGAAAAAACGGAAAGATGTTGATAAACATTCTGAATGGAACATTTTGATTTTCCATTTTGAAATTATTTTTGCTTTTTAAGATTTTGTATTATGTAAATTAATTTTGTAAAGCAAAAATCAGAATGAAAAGGTTTTGATTTTGTCAAAATAAAACGTTTCCGTTAGCCCAAAATATCTTTTTTTCAGAATTTCATTTTATTGGATAGTTTCTATCATTTTTCTTTTTGTTCTGTTTCAGACCGGGGGAAAATACTCACTCATAAAAAATCCCTCTTGGCCCAACTTCAGAAGGAATCCATACAAAACTAAACCATTCTTTTTACAATCTTATGGTCCTCTTCACACATCTTATCATTGTTGAAAATATGTACACATAAAGCTGCTTCCACACATCTTTTTTTTCTATTCAACAAATCCAAAAAGAAGAACAATATAAATGTGGACAATTACTCACCGTTATTATCAAATCCATGGGTAAACTCATGCCCAACAATTACTCCAATGGCACCATAACTTAAAGACCTATAACACAAAAGAGCAGTTTCACCTTACAATATATGCTTGCATATGAACATCAAAGCAGATGAGATAGAAGATAGAACAGGTTTCCATTTCAGAAAAGATTTTTTGTGTCTAAAACCTACATCCACAAAGTTCCTCTCAAAGCTTCTGATAGTGAAAGGTGGAACATGAAAAACCTTGTTTATTAAAGAAGGGTGAAAATAAAACCTTAAAGGCATTGTTGTCATCTCTGAGGTGGCTAGATTTTCTATACAAATATCTTATGTCATCATCAGGACTCAAAATAAAAAGGGGGCTTCCAACTGATTGCAGCATTTATTTTCTAACTGGGAACTGGGTAGTGTTAAGAGTAAAATTATTCTGTTATTGTAGTTAAAGAAAAGCACAGATCAAAGATTAAAAGCACAGATCAAAGATTAAAAGATTAAAAATCTAATCACTCTGCTCTGAGTATGTGATAGACAAGCTTGCAAATGCATGGCATTTAATGTCTGAAACATTAAACAGATTCCCGTTGTTTTCAAAAGAGGTATTATCCTATTTCCCTTCACCTGTGCAGAAATAAGAGATTATCTACAATCAGATCTAATGCACTGAAGAGACAGAAAGGAGACAATCATTTCATGTTCCTGGCAGATAATAATTGACATCTGCCTGGTTTGTTTGTACAGTGTATTTTTGTTTTCAATTTTCGGATGTTCTTCTATGGTGAGAGGAAAAGACGTGTGTGAAATTTTCATTCAGAAGACGTATTCATGAAACACATCTTGTATTTGCTAAGTTATTCTTCTGGAACTTTACATACGTCACATGTTACAGAAATGCCATACAACAAAGTAGTGTATAGTAGTGTATTAATAACACATTGTATAGTAACAGGAAAAGGCAAAGGGTTTGAAGTAACATTTTATTACTGGGCATAATGATCCATCACACACTAATTGTTCATTTCAGTCATGCCCAAAAAAGTGTTTATGATTTAATCCCCCCAAAATATGACAATTCTTTTTTTCTGATTCCAGCACTCATGTATGGTCTCTATTATATGGACTGACAAAAGATCCAGAATAAGCCAAGCTGTTTGATATAGAGCAGATTTATTTGTTTACTAAATGTCATTCTGATGAGTAAAGGAGTGAAAATGCCTTGTGTCATAAATATAGAAGGAAGGGTAAACACCTTTCAATCCCTCCTAGCCAGAGGCAAAACCCTTTCACCTGTAAAGGGTTAAGAAACTAAGACAACCTTGCTGGAACCTGACCAAAATGACCAATGAGGAGACAAGATTCATTCAAAGCTGGGGAGTAGGGAGAACAAAGGTTCTCTCTGTCTGTGTGATGCTTTTGCCGGGAACAGAAAAGGAATGGAGTCTTAGAACTTAGTAAGTAATCTAGCTAGATATGCGTTAGATTCTGTTTTGTTTAAATGGCTGATAAAATAAGCTGTGCTGAATGGAATGTATATTCCTGTTTTTGTGTCTTTTTGTAACTTAAGGTTTTGCTGAGAGGGATTCTCTATGTTTTGGATTTGATTACCCTGTAAGGTATTTACCATCCTGATTTTACAGAGGTGATTCTTTTACTTTTTCTTCAATTAAAGTTCTTCTTTTAAGAACCTGATTGCTATTTCATTGTTCTTAAGATCCAAGGGTTTGGGTCTGTGTTCACCTATGCAAATTGGTGAGGATTTTTATCAAGCCTTCCCCAGGAAAGGGGGTGTAGGGTTTGGGGAGGATTTGGGGGGGAAAGACATTTCCAAGTGGGCTCTTTCCCTGTTATATATTTGTTAGACGTTTGGTGGTGGCAGCAGTAAAGTCCAAGGGCAAAAGGTAAAATAGTTTGTACCTTGGGGAAGTTTTAACCTAAGATGGTAAAAATAAGCTTAGGGGGTTTTCATGCAGATCCCCACATCTGTACCCTAGAGTTCAGAGTGTGGAAGAAACCTTGACAACTTGTATAAGTTAGAGTAACAAAGAAGAGAAATATGTGAGGCATAATTGTTTAAAAGAACCACAATTTCAGCTCTTTGACAGGAGATCAGGGTACCAAGAAATCAGCTCAGAGAACAAAACTGGAATTGACCACACTGAAATAAGCACTGTAGAAAAGGAGTTAACTGGACAGCACCTCCCTTTATTCCTACTTACTGCACCACAAGAAAGTCACTTGGCTCATAAGAAATAATCTTGAACATGAATTTATTTCTTCCTAAGTTGAATACATATCTCTATATTTACTGCCAAAATTTCTATTTAGAGGAGCACTTGTCCCAATTGAAATATAATAAATACAACATATGTTTAAAGGTAAACAGTGGAATTTATTAAGGACACCTGTCAGTAGTAATTGGTCTCATTTGATAGCAAGATAGCTTTCTGAAACTGTGATCAGGGTCTTTTTATTCTCTTGTCCCTCCCCAAGTATGAAAACATTGAATTGCATGGAAGTAGGGACTTTTCACTAAGCATGATTAAAGGTGACCTGAAATCATTTCCCCCTATAACAGCACATGTTAACCACGGCCCCAGTGGAACTGGTCATCTGCTTAAAGGCAAGCATGTGCTAAAGTGCTTCGCTGGATTAAAGCTCATGATCCTGAGAGATATTTATTGCCTTGATGAGACCCTAAGAGGGACATCAAGCACTTTGGCCCAGGTCCACAAAAGTACTTAGGCGCCTAAGATGTCTGATTCCAGGAGAGGAGTTCCCAGCTGTAGAGCAGAAGCAGAGCAAATCCTGCAGCCCAGACTTAGGCACCTAACTCCAGGACTCCTAACTCCCTTCTCACCAGCATCTCCTATTGGCTAGTTTATGGGGGCTCCCCACCTAACATGCTGGCTTTTGTGGATCCCATTCCTAGGCACCTATCTCTCCCCATTAATTGTATAGGGAGCCTAGGGGCCTAATTCAGACTCTGTGAATTGCAGTGTGTTCCTGTGATTTTCTAGGCACAAGTTAGGCCTTGAAGTACTGAGCCTCAAAACCCCTATGTTCCTTTTGTGGATCCAAGCCTTTTGGACCTAATCCAAAACCCACTGAAGTCAATGGAAATGCTGCCATTCACTTCAGGAGGCTTTGGAGCAGGTCCAATATTAGTTTAAAATTATAGTAAGAAAATAATGAAATTTTAATGGAGGAATACACTAAATGCCCCTCTTAGCTGGGGTGGGCCAGCATTCAGTGCAGATGAAAGTTTTTGTTTCCATTATTTACAGTTCTTTTCTAATAGACTTCATGCACACGTTGCTCTCTTCTGCTCACTACAGAATCAAAACACCCAAATTAGACACAATTATTTACGAATTCCTCAAAGCAATCAATCCTCAGTTTAAAATAACACAGAGACATCCAGTTTCCCAAGGTAAAAACAGGTATATCACAAGGCAGCAGCTTTTCAGATCAACCTGGTTTTTCAATAGAAAAAGCAGCCTGCAGCAGAAGGACACATCCCAAAGGGCTCTCCTGTTGCCAGTTTCTTCATGCCATGATTAGACATTTCTACTGTACACATTGTTTTGGGCTGCTGTATCAATACACTCTTTCACTTCATGCTCCCTTTCATTTCACACAAGAACGTACCTTTGCAACTCTTTTACTCCTCATTGCCTACTTACTATAGTTTTCCTTTCTTACTTACCTAGGATATTCTGTCCCCCAAAAGAAAGGCTTTTGGAGTTCTCCTGCTGGGAATCCTGTAATAGTCAAAATACAAAAGTTAGAAGCAAATTCAATCCAGCTGAATGATGAAGCCATGAGGGGGATTTTAAGAGGGTTCTGCAAAACAACTTCAAAACAGTGTGCTGATAATTAGCTTATGGGTCTTCAAACAGATCACAGATCCTCCTTGTTCCCAGTGCAGTGGCAACAGGATGTTGCACTTTGACCTGGGACAGTTAGACATGTTAGACATCTAGACAAGCAGAACTTTCCTTGTGCTTTCTCTCTGGGTTTTGGGCTACATACATTGCTGGCTGCACTGCTCTTCCCATGCAAAGGGACGGAGCCACTTCTCTGGCCTCCAAGCTCTTGACAATACATACAGAAGGGCAGGAGTAACAGACAAAATGGAAAAAAAATAAGAACTTGCTCCCCAGGCTCCTGGAGCCCCAATTCTGCAAGGTACTTAAGCATGTTCCTATTTTTAACCATATGAATAGTCCCATTAAAATCAGTGAGTTGTTTAAAGTAACCCATATGCTTAACCAACTTGTTGAATCAGGATCACAGTATGAATAGATTATCAAGGCTTGATAGGAACATCCAACCATACCCAATAAGTGCATCAGTTGGAAGTTACTGGTAAAATAATCTGCAGTTGAAAGGTTATCAGTGCTGACACTCCAGTGAGTGATTTACCCAAGATCACATAGAGACAGCAATAGTAGCTAGAACTCACAAATCCCTGGTTCATTTCTAACCACTAAACTACATTTCATTACACATACAGAAGTCAATTCCCTGCTCTGAAGTTCTGCCTTATCTGGGGTTAAATATAGCAACTGGTTAACAGCCACTACACAAGATTGAGACTCTCTGGCCATCTTTTTCAAAATGGGGTGAAAATCAAGCCACTTGGGTGCTTAGATATAGAGTTAGGTGTATAGCTTCAGGAGCCCCCTTTTGAAAAGTGTTGGCCTATATCTCCATTTCTCTTTTTTAGAGAATCTTAAGCATATATAAAGTGGCTACGACAATGATGTTTCTCAGACTGGTTCATTGCAATTTCTAGCTTTTCCACCATACTCTGATTGCCAAAGAATGTTACTGTCTCAAAACATAAAAAAACACATGAACATTAAAATCAAAACAAAAAAGACACTAAATAAAATTTTAGGTCTTTTATTTATAAACAGAGCATGGAATTTTGCCCAGCTAAAGTAAATGTGAGGCAAGATTTCATTGTTATCCTCCCAGGGTCTTTTAAAAGAACATACTGAGTGTAATTCATGTCAAGTGATGCAGCAAGTGGTATGACCTCCTGGCCTGCCCATCTGCTGCCTGCCCGCTCTTTCTCCCTTGCTGCCATAGCCACCTGTTAGCAATTGATTTATGAAAAAATAACTTTTTGTAAAACTTATTATCTGGGTTTTTATAGTTCCCTGGATGCTCTTTTGTTGTTCAGACCATGTTTGGCCTCTTTATTTTTGTGCTGTAAAAATATAAATTACACTAGTTACCAAGGCTTTCCTGATCTTGCATCACAACTAGAAGAGTAAGCATTCATATTCACCATGTGTATTGTCAAACATCTCATATTAATGGCACTCTCAAGTATCCTGATGAGATCTTTACTCTTAGATCTTTACTCTTAGTGGACAGATCACTGGACTGGGACTCAGGAGATGTGGGCTGTATTCCTGGTTCTGCCACTATCCTACTGGGTGGACTTCAGCAAGTCCCTTCACTTCCTGTGACTCACTTTTCCCATCTGTAAAATGATACTGACCTCTTTTGTAAGGCATTTTGAGATCTAAAGATGAAAAACCCTATGTAAGTGTTAAAAGAACAGGAGTACTTGTGGCACCTTAGAGACTAACAAATTTTGGTATCGTCATTAGAATAGGTCCCACTTACAAAGCTTCTTCATAAATGAGTTTAGGCAGTGACAAATCACACATTCTGTTAGGATCTGATTCAAACCTTTTGAAGTCAATAGAAAACTCTCTAGACTGGACTGTGGAATATTGCAATCTGGTCTCCTCCATGTTGTGGCATGCAGGTAGCCCAAGCAGGGCTCCAAATCGTCCCTTTACCGTCTTGTATAGGTGCATTCATTGGCACATGAGCCCTCAGTGTCCAAGGGCCAAATTCTATAAATATTAATGTGGTGTGAGTAATGTTGCTCATATGAGTAGTTCCATTGATTTAATAAGTCTATTTGTGTGAGTAAAGTAACTCACCGTGACTAAGTAAGATATGCATGTATCAAACTGTGAACTTGATTTTGTTTGTGACTTCCATTTTTATATTCTGTGATCCATTTTAATGTGCTAACTGCCATTTTGTGTTGGAAAGCCAGCCTGACCCTATCACGGCCAGTCCAGACACTACCCCTCCAGGATAGGGTGTGGCACATCTCAGAGAGGACTACAGTGGGAGAGCCTTCAAGGGCCACCAACTCAGAATGATTCCCTGTGACAATACAGGGGACAATGCTTTTCTTCATGGGGACTTGCATGACTTGGGGTTAGAATTTCCCAGTCTGGTCACAAGGCAAAACAGAATCAGAGACTATATGTAAGGGGTGGGCTGCTTTCAGAAGAAGAGAGCTGTCCACCATCACATACCAGAAAACTAGGCTGGAGAGAGAGTGGAAGAGGGTAGGAGAGATACTGCCTCATGTGAAATGCTGACCAGCCCTCAGACTTACAGGAAGGATGAGATCAGTCATGGAGAGGGTGTGTCTCAGGACTGTTAGTTCTTCTGTGAAGAACTGTAAATCTCTAGTACTTACTTAATTGTAAAAGTGGCTGTGGTTCATTCCTTTGATAAGCCTGTGTTCCTTGCTTGCCTGCTACGTTGTCCTTGAAAAGGTTAAGTGAGTTCAGAGCACCCACACAGTGAGGTGGAATTCTGAAGGAACACGTTGTGACAGGGTCATGCCAGATGGCTACAGGAAAGTGACCCTATAGAGATCCGCCCACTGCTAAAGGATCCCCCCAGCCTAAGAGGGGGATCCACAGGACCTGGAAGGTAGATATATTAGCCCCAGATTAAGGAGGTCCCTTTTCCCTGAGTAAGATAATGGGCTGTTCCAGAACAATCAGGAAGTTGCTGGAACCAATTAAGGCAGGCTAATTAGGACACCTGGAGCCAATTAAGAAGCTACCAGAATCAATGAGGACAGGCAGGCTAATCAGGGCACCTGGTTTTTAAAAGGACCTCACTTCAGTTAGTGAGATACGTGCGAGGAGCTGGGAGTGAGAAGGCGTACTTCTGGAAGACTGAGAAGTACAAGCATTATCAGCCATCAGGAGGAAAGTCCTGTGGTGAGAATAAAGAAGGTGTTGGGAAGAGGCCATGGGGAAGTAGCCCAGGGAGTTGTAGCTGTCACGCAGCTGTTACAGGAGCCACTGGAGACAGCTGCAATCCACAGGGCCCTGGGCTGGAACCTCATCCCATTCCCCCCAACTCCCTATTTGTTACAAGAGGTGGTGACTTGGACAGTGGGTCCCACCAGACAGGAAGGTCCCTGACCTATCCCCCGACCCACTAGGTGGGTCAGCAGAGACTGTGGGGATTGTTCTCCTCCCTTTCCCCATGCTGGCCAGTGATGAGGTTAGCTGAGTGAACGGCAGGGTTGAGCCACTAGCAAAAGTGTCCAAACCGAAGGCTGCTGTGAATCTCTGAGCAAATCCGCCAATAAGCGCAGGACCCACCAAGGCAGAGGAGGAACTTTGTCACAATGTATAAGCAACAGGAGGGCTCAGGAGAGTTGAGGCACTGATTAGGTCTAAGGCAGCTTAGCTGCGAAGCCCCACATCTCAAAGATGGTGCGCAGAGACTGGGGCCTGCACCTGGGAATGTGCTTAGAGTCCCAGATCTACAAACAACAATGCGGCTCTGCCTGACCTATTTGGCTTAGGAGCACATGACATCCAGAGGTTGGGTCCATTCACAACAGATGGATGTCTGTCCAGACAGGGAGACTGGGCCAGGCTTTGACACTCATATGCGTAAATGTTTACAGGATTGAGCCTGAATTTTGCAGTTTTTCCTCTCGTGTCATTGTCTTAATTTAGAAATAAAAATACCACTTATTTGGACAAGGTATTTTCCTTTTCCTGGTTGTGGAAAATGTGGTGGTGGTGGTTGTGAAGGGGGGAGAAGGGTGTTTCTTTCAAAATGTTTGTGAGTGAAGGTGCCCTACAACTCCACCTTTAAAAATATTTGCTATTGCTGCTGCTACTGCCCTTCCATTATTTATCTGCTGAACCCTCCACTTGTTTAGAATATACTCCCAAAATGCAACATCTTTTTTTACAGTTTTGCAGGCAATTGATTGTACCTATCCTGCTTTTTAAATGTTTAGCTTTGAATTTATTCTGAGTTTAAAACTCTAATTGACATCCTTGACCTGCACAGGACTACTTTTAACTTCACTGAAGGAAACTTGACTCTCATATCAACGCTCAATCTGCATCACTAACAAGGGGATGTGTAGTTTGTTGGTGTATATTTCAAGTTTTAAAATACAGCATTTTCCACCTTTACAGTGGAACTTCTCTCTCGGAGTGCTTTACATGTTTGTATAAACTAAGTTATCAGCATTATTAATTAACATATTTGTAAGGTTGGTAAGTATTATTCACATTTCATAGATAGACAAACTGAGGCACAGGGAGACGAAGTTATTTGCCCAAATAAGTACAAGTAATTAGATTTGCTCATTTTACACTAGAGGGCTGTGACAGGAAATAGCTTGACACCACCTGGCTTCATACAAACATTTTCTTCCAATTCTACCATGTTGGTTTACTCCATTGAATTTTGATTTGAACAAAGTCAAAATCCCAGTCACATACTTAAGAGGAAACACAAGGAAACAGAGTTTACCCACTTCCCATTTGGGGAATGTGGAATTTAGTTTAGATTAGTTTACCCACTTTTTTTTTTTTAATCACCACACCACTGCAAAATCCCCACAATTAAAGCAACACTTCAATTTCTAGGTTTCCCCTGCTAGTGCACT